AGACCAGTTCTGCAATCGCGGAAAGTTTAGGGAGTCTGATGGATGGTTGAGAGTGTAGGGGAAGTTTAGCCAGTTTGTGGATGTACAGAGAGTCGAGGTCAGGTTTAGGGTGTAGAGGTAGACACCACTACTTACCATGGGTACAAATCAGTTGATGCCTCAACAACAGATCGATTCTTTTGAGGTAGATCGCGTGTCTGAATGATTGCACCATATTGATCTACTCCGACGATTACGCAATCTTCGTGGATGATGACGGAATCACTTTGACGCGCTGTCGTCTGCCATGAATCTCAAAACTGGATTGGGTCGCATCCCATCAATCAGTCCCTTGTTCCCATAAGCCAACTGTCACTTCACCACACAGGCACAGCCACAGCTGTATGTCGCTGAGTCTGGTATGTAGTCGCCTACGTTTGCGCTTGGCTAGCGCCGTCAATTGACGGCGAATCGTTGCGATGATGCCCTCTTTACACCTTCCACTGTGGTTTCTGCATCATTCTGTACCACCTAGTTACGTTGCCTCCATAGCTCTGTAATGCATATTGAAGTCATGATCCACCAAATTCGTCGCCACTCTGATTTGAATTGGGATGCCTCATCGCCAAACTGGGAGTGTATTCACGTCTTGATCGTTCTCGAGAGAGGCGGCGCCTTCCTTGAGGCGCAGTATCGCTGAAACTGTTTTATAGTGACTGGTGATATCTCTTCTCCGGCCCACATCCCGAGCAACTTAGTCCATGTTGCTTGCGCACATGGACAACCCCAATGGATATGTTCTAGTGTTTCCTTGGCACGATCACAGCTCGGGAGCAACTTGCATGCATTGTTATTCTTGCGCCCTGGATGGTAAAGATTGAGCTGCATGGTGGCCACACGATAGGCTACCCATACTTGATACTCTGTGAGCGTATTGCGGTGACGCCACAACGAGCTAGGTGCTTGTTGCTGTGCTGCACGATGCCACGTGGAATGCGACGCTACTTCTGCCAGATTGGCTCTAGATCTCTACCCAAGTCACCTTGATATTCCACAAATGGCTGTTTCGTGAGGTTTTTAATAGAATGTTGGTTAGAAACCTTCTCATTCACGTCCCATGGGAAATGGTGAATTAATGGATGTGCTGCGAATACGATTCCGTTTTCCTCGCCGCATTTCTTCAGAGTCCAGAAGTCGTCTTCGTACTTGGAGTTAGTCATGAAGTGAGCTACCCAACGCCAATGTATTCCATTTTCCGCCTGTTGAAAGAAAATGTGATCTGTGTTCTCTGAGGTCGCTCTGATGGGATTCCCTTGACCATTCCGTTGCTACAATACTTCCATTCGTAGTCTTCAGAGAGCGTAGGAGAGCGTCGTAGCGTCAGCTTCCTTCTGATCTGTATAGAGGCCGCCACCTCTACTGGTGGGCTGCCTAAAAGGATTGCCAACGCCCACCTTTTTAGCTTTAGGAGTGTATGAGACTTTTCCACTCCGATCGGAAGCTGGAAATGCATTCGAAACGTAGTTGAACTGGTCCGGTGTATCCGCAGCTAGCCAACAATCCTGGCGCAATCCTATCGAGCTGCTTGGAATTTAGAGCCTGCCCAGATCCATCGAGTATCCAAGGATTTCCATTCCATGAGAATGTGGGCCAGAATGCCATTATCTCCGCCGTTATTCCGTTTTCCATGGCTGGTGGTGGCTCATCAAAGTCGATGTGGAGGACCTCTTCTCGCCTGCACTACATTTGATTCATCACTTTTGCCCATTTGTCTTGGACAAATCGTTGTCGGGCTGATGCCACCTCGTGCACCGGTTTGAGCCAGCTTACTATCAGGTTACTAGTACGATTCCTCGTTACTGCTTTCCTGATTGCGAGCACGCCCAATTAGGCGAGGCGAGACCAATTGCTTCCCTAACTCCTGTATGTGTCTGGTTACCCAGGCCCTCC